AAGAGGACCTTAAGAGCCTCTTGCTCAGGGTAAAAGAGGAGAGCGCAAAAGTGGGCTTGAAGCTCAACATCAAAAAACTAAGATCATGGCATCCAGTCCCATCACTCCTTTGCAAATAGAAGGGGAAGTCGTGGAAGTAGTGACAGACTTCACGTTCCTGGGATCCCAAATCACCGCAGACTGTGACTGCAGCCATGAAATTAAAAGACGCCTGCTACTTGGGAGGAAAGCGAAGCCCCATCACTTCTTGGCAAATAGAAGGGGAAGTCGTGGAAGTAGTGACAGACTTCACGTTCCTGGGATCCCAAATCACCGCAGACTGTGACTGCAGCCATGAAATTAAAAGACGCCTGCTACTTGGGAGGAAAGCGATGGCGAACCTAAACAGCATGATAAAAAGTAGAGACATCACCCTGCCAACAAAAATCCGCATGGTCAAAGCAATGGTATTCCCAGTAGTCATGTATGGCTGCGAGAGTTGGACTATAAGGAAGGCCGAGCGCCGAAGAATAGATTCTTTTGAACTACGGTGCTGGAGAAGACTCTTGAGAGTCCCTTGGACTGCAAGAAGATCAAATCAGTCAATCCTAAAAGAAATCAACCCTGACTGTTCCCTGGAAGGCCAGATAATGAAAATGAAGCTCAAATACTTTGGTCACCAAATGAGAAGGGAGCACTCACTGGAGAAGACCCTGATGCTGGGAAAGATTGAAGGTCAAAGAAGACGGGGACGGCAAAGGATGAGATGGTTAGACAGTGTCAGAGATGCAACGAACATGAAACTGAGCAAACTTCAGAGGACAGCGGAAGACAGGAGGGCCTGGCGGGATCTGGTCCATGGGGTTGCGAAGAGTCGGACTCGACTGTGCGACTGAACAACAACAAATCACCCAGACAGAGAAGCAACTCATATCCCATCACAGTTTCAACTTGTTGAATGTCACACTGTTTATTATTATAATCCAAGGCAATACAATGTTTTGAGATGAGAATATTTTTGACATGGACACAATGATCTGGGGAGCAATATACAATCCTCAAGCCATTTGAACCCACATACGCAGGACAATCCTAAAGAGAATTAGACCCTTCTAAGCCCACTGACTTCAATGGATTTAGAAGGGTGTAACTGTTCTTAGGATTGCACTGACAGGCAGTTGAGTGGCTTGGCTGATGACTAGGCTATAAGTGGAAGAAAATTTGTAGCAAACAAGACTAAACACAGACTAGGGCATATCTTCACGATTGTGGTAGTGATGGCAGTGAAGTGCTCATACTTGTCTGTCACCATCACGTCTGTGTAAATTCATCCCACTGAGCTTTCTGAACTGTGACAAGGCTTCTCCATCTTGTTCCTGATTATGTTAACTCAGATACTTGCTCTGACTTGTTTGCTAGGCATTTATATACTAGAACATGGACATCATTCTTTTGGCAAGATTAGCTAGTTCTGTTTCAGTCTCACTTTCAGGCTTGTTTTGGAATTGAAACTGCCACTGTTGCCTTGACTGATGACTTTTGCTAGGCAAGAGACAAGGAGAGTGCAATCTGCTGGAACTCATGGTGGTTTTTGGTACATAGCCTGCGATATTCTTCTGGATCAGTTGACAGAGGTAGACGCATCCAGTGGTTCCATTTTCATCTCATTTAATTATCCTCTCCAACAGCAGTAATTATCTCCAGCAATAACCATAGTAATAAAAAAGTTCATTTTGGAAGATGAGAATACACTAATGTGATCAAAAGTCCTCCTTGTGGAGAAAAGTGGCTTATAAAATAAATAAACCTTCGGTGCACTCACTGTATCAGCTTCTAATGACCACATGAGCAACAGTTTAAATGCTTTGTGGCTCACAGTCAGAATGTAAAATATTTGGATGGTACAGAGATCAAGTAAATATAAGGAAAAAATGCCAGAAATCCTCATCCTTATATTTAATAGTTATATTCCTGGCATAGACCCTTGTTTTCTATCTTCTTCAATTAGATGACATAGCTGTGTTTAAAAAGGGAAAGCAAGGAATAATAACTATTGGCCTCAATTATTGATTGCACCAGAGAAGCAACATCACAAATATTGTGTGTTTTATCACAGATATCCTTCCTCGCTTGCTTCACCGCTGCTATTCTTTCTCTCTCATCCCTTTTGATACCTGACACATTTTATGAATGACTCCTTTCTTGGTCTCTGCACAGGCCTAGTTCTCATGGAAATGGTAACTTCTGCCTTGGAAGTACCTTTTCAGACTGCTGGTGGGAAAAATTTAAGGAAATTTTCAATCAGACCGAAAAGAAAAGAAAAAAGAATCCTGCATACAAAAAACCTAACATCTGGGGGAAGAAGGCAATGCTAAACCCTCTTTGATATCTAGTTTTCTAGGTGTAGGGATTAAAAAAATATATTTTACAAAATTTGTATCCTTCCATTTGGCCCACACAAGGGCCATGGAGGTGGCTGTATGGAGCCTTCAGTAGTAGTAGGGGCCATAGTTGAGTGGTAGTAGGGTCTTTCTGCTTTGCATAGGGTTGCCAGATATCCTTTTTTTGGTGTCTGTTCTCTTTTGGGCTCTTTTAAAAAAACTGATGAAAATGTATTCTTGGAAGGTTGGGAATATTCCTAGAAGAAGAAGAGATTGGATTTATACCCCACCCTTCACTCAGAGTCTCAGAACGGCTTACAAACTCCTTTCCCTTCCCCTCCCCCACAACAGACACCCTGTGAGGTAGGTGGGGCTGAGAGAGCTCTGACAGGAACTGCTCTTTCGAGGACAGCTGTGCCAGAACTATGGCTTGCCCAAGGTCATCCAGCAGCTGCAAGTGGAGGAGTGGAGAATCAAACCTGGTTCTCCTAGATTAGAGTCCACACACTTAACTACTACACCAAATTGGCTCCTAGTTATTAGCAATTATCACATCTTAAATATGATTATTATTTAGTACTACAATATATTTAGTAGGAGTATTTAAAATGAGATTGCCATAGTCATCACTTGTTTGAAGTAGTCAGTTGGGAAATAAATCCTCTTTTTTGCTTTTCAGAATATGGTAACCCTAGTTTTGTAGGCAGAATGTCCTGGGTCCAATTCTTGGCATTTTCAGTTAAAGGGATGAGGTGGCAGATGACGTAAAAGCAGGGGTCATTTCGTAGAAAAAGAGCTAGGGGAACTCAATAGCATAACTCATTAGCATACGCCACACCCCCTGACATCAGGGGCCCGGCGGTGGACTTGCAAGGCCAGCGGGAGTGTGAGGAAGCCCCGCGAAGGCCCTCCCTGGTCCGAGGCAGGCAGGGGTGGGGAGAGACAGGGAGGAACTAACTTACCCTCCCTCTTCTCCTGCCTCCTCCTGGCTGAATGAGGGGTGGAAGCGGGGCGGCCGGAAGCAGGGCGCGGGGCTTCGTCATGTGCCCCGCCCCCTGCACCTCATCGGGGGAACTCCCCCGCGTCCCCCCCCCGAAATAACCTCTGCATAAAAGACATCCACCTGCGACCCCTGGAGAGTCACTGCCGTTTA